GGAGGGCGACGACCACTCAACCATCCAACAAAATCTGAACGGGAGCACGGTCTGCAGGCATGCGCACGACGTGCCCGAGCCATTTCAACCGCCGACGCCGAACAAGGTCTGATACTGGTGTAGTGTCACCCCAGCGCGCACGGAGCGTTGCCGATGAGATCTTCTCCTCCCATTGCTGATGCCGAGATACACATAAGATGGAGCGAATGCTCCGGTGGTGAAAGTTATCCAGCAGATCCAAGTCGTGACGAAGCGGAGCACATAAATCAGCACCGTAGAGTGAAATGGACAGAACACAGGTCGTATACAACGAACTGACGGACAAACCAAACGAGGATGCAACACGATGAAAAGTCTGAACCGACTGCTCAGCCTCAGCCCGACTCATTGACAACAAAATGGCATCGTCCGCAAATTCAAAGTCGTGGAGTTGCACTTGAAGGGTACCCTTAGCACGGGAGTAAAGCTGACAATTGATGTTGTAGGACAGTGGTATACCAGAATCAGTGCTGGCCTGACGCATCGCATCTCTCCAGCACATCGTAAAACACCAAAAAAAAGAGATTGAACAAAACCAGAGCCATGGTGCATCCCTGGAAGCGTATGATTCCGTGCCGTGCCCTGCTCTCTCTCTCTCTGCATGCCTTCTCAAGCTGGGCGTACTTGAGGAACTCACAGAGCTACGCCTGCAGTTCCATTGCGGCATGGAAGCAGAGGTGTGTGTTGGTGATGAAGTCAGTGGCTCTTTCCTGTTTACACACACACACACACACACACACACACACACACACACACACACACACACACACACAGACTTGTCCTGTCCTGTCCTGTTGACCCACTGCCTTAAAGGTTACGTGGTCCCATTGCGGGAGGAGGGAGAGGAGCAAACACGCCGGTGCCGGGTCAGGTCCCTGGACTGCCGAAATCTCCGAGAGCAGTGCTGACACATTAGTGGAAACTCGGCACGTTCATCCGTTGTTGGGCGGTTCTGGCGAGGTCTACCGATTCCACCCCTGCTACGGTACCATTTCCCACAATCTGCGCATTGACATGCACAAAGCTGCTGATGGACTGGCTTGCGACGCTCCGCTGTGCACTTGTGGCGCTTTTAAAAGATCACTTGGTGTAGAGCAGACCTTTCCACAGGTGGGGCACACAACAGGGGCTGCTGCGGCCAGTTCCTTATCCTGGTCTTGGTATCTACATCGGCATTCCATGCAAGATGTGCTAGCAGTCTGGCACCAGTTCACAATTTGGTTATGTCGAAGATCGACCGACACGCAGTCCTTCCACCGTTTCCTTGGTCCATGGGCACGTCTGACAGGTGGGAGCTGGCCAAACAGAAGGCACTTCGGCATGTGGGTGTCATCCATGCGCGCCAGATGACCTAGCCACTCTAGCCGACGATGCCGAAGCTTACAGGTGATGGTCTCCGGATCGCTCCACATACGCAATAGTTCAGCATTGCTGATGTGGGCATCCCACATCTGCTGTCTCGACACACCAAGGATAGAGCGGACGCAACGCATATGGAAGGTGGACAGGCGTTGCAAGTCGCCCTGAAGGGGGACCCAGCACTCAGAATCGTATAGTAGTAAGGACATGACACACGCGTTGAAAACACACCTCTTCAAGAACACAGGAAGCTGACCATTGGCAAATTCAGGGCGCTGTAAAGCACCACAGGCCTTGGAGGCACTCGCAATGCGGGCGTTGACATCCACTGCCGAACGGCTGTTGCTGGCGATAATGGAACCCAGATACCTGAATTCAGCCACATTCTTGATCTCAACATCCGCCAGCGTGAGTGGGACACAGTCTGCATCTTGGATGTTGCTGCCGCACACCATGAATTGGGTCTTGGTAGTGCTGACAGTTAGTCCAAAATCAGCAGCAGTCGCCTGGAATACAGAGAGTGCGAGCTGAGCACCGTCACGTGTATTCGTTAATTAACAAGGCTGAATCGTCGGCGAACTGGCATTCCCCAAACTTGGTCGATATCATTCGCGTCCTCGGCTTGCCGAACAACTTTCCGTCAATGCAATAGCGAACCTCCATGCCAACACTAGGAACTGCCGACACTCTCCGGGACCAAACAGTGAAAACGGCCCACATGAATAGATTGAAAAGCACGGGGGCCATAGAGCACCCCTGCATCAACCCGTTGTTGATGTTGATGGGCTGACTGTGTCCCTTTGATGTGCGGATTGTGGCAGACACACACACACACACACACACACACACACACACACACACACACACACACACACACACACACACACACACACACACACACACACACACCATTTGACCATTTGACCATTTGACGCCCATCGCCAGAGACGATGATAGCAATGCGACAGCAAAGCCATAGCAGCTTGTGCTGGGATCGCACCATTCAACAGCTTGCAAGGCTGAAGAATTGACCGACACTATTCAGCCTGGTCTACACCACACAGCTATGAAGTGACACACACACACACACACACACACACACACACACACACACACACACACACACACACACACACACACACACACACACACACACCTGGTACCTGGTAAACACTGCCATTACGGTCACGTGTCCCCCTGCGGGGCCGACAGTAATATATGGAACGACGAGCAACGGCAGTCCGCGGAGAGAGAGGTACTAGGTCAGGGACTCAGGGACCATGTTCGAGAGAGCCATCTCTGGCAGCGATCCGGCTTATCATTGGAAACGATTCCTCTCAGGGCTGCCTCTTGAACTGGCCCATCACTCTCCACAACCGTCAACAGAGCGAATATTCCATGAGCCAATGCTCAGAGTCGTTCCAAGTCGTCGTCTTCGTGCGGTAGTTTGCTCCACTCGCGGGCTTGCAAGGCCTCGCGAAGGACTCCGAGGTGGGGGCGACGAGGAGAGTGTCAGCATCGTAACTATCCGACCAAGTCTCCTGTCGATGAATACCCCACCTCAGGCACTGTTGGCCTGTACGGCTGGGGACACCCCAGGCCGTCCACAACGGCGAGAACAAGCACGGACCAAGGCCAGAAACAAGAGCCCGAAAAAGTACAACCGTCCTCCACCAGAGCAGAAAACACACATAGTGACACACACACACACACACACACACACACACACACACACACACACACACACACACACACACACACACACACACTGTACTGTACTGTACTGTACTTGCTCACTGCCAAAATTGGTCATGTGGGTCTTCCCGGGAGAGGGGAGATAGGAACTCAAAAATAATCTTGGAAAGAGGACTCAATTGGATCGACCGACGGCCGACACCCCCTGAAATCCCCAAACTATGGGTGGACTTGAAAATGATCTCACTTACGGGATCACCACACCTCAGTAAGCGGGTGAGGGCAAGGTGCAGAAAAAGGATTAACGGAATCAGGGTGTCCGTCCTGGGATCCAACTGCAGTTTCCACTGCCCCCAGTGAGTGTAATACTTGAGGGTGGCTAAATCAGAGTGGATCTAATATCAGCTTCACTAGCACCAGTGATTACACAAGAGTTAATGTAGCCAGAAGCAGTCCATGGTCAACAGGTATGTATACTTCAAATAGAAAGTATATGAACCCTGAAACCAACAAAGGTGGCAGATACATCAATACACCTTCAAGCAGTCGAGCATGTTGGCAACAGACCTAACATTATCTTGCGTATATGTACCCACCAACCGGACTAGCTGGTACCCACACACAAACACACACACACACACGCATGCACGCACTCACGCACACACCGTCAGGCGAAATTACTGGTCAGTCGGCGACACGCATTTTTCACAAAAATTTGCGTTTCACCTGCTGGGAGAGTATGCGTGCACTCGAGTCTCATCCGGAGCACGTTTTTTTCTTTCTTTTTTTCAGCTCCAGTATAGCTGTATTTTTCATTGCAAAGCCGTCCTCGATTGTTGTGTTCGTTGTTCAAACGAAGTGGACATTCAATCATGAAGGCAGAGGACATAGGAGCCTGATTGGAGTTTCTCGTGGCATAGGACGGCCACACAGAGACACTTTGGGATTTTCTGAATATAAAATACCGTACGCACGATGCTGAGATCGATTTGTGCGATATCAAATTGTTTGTGATCTACCACATCGAGCAGAACGGGATCCAAACACAAGCTTACCGACGGTTAGGCTGCCGACCTGACTGGACAAATGATCCCTGGCTTCACCAGACGCCAGAAGTCGGACACCATGTCCTTTGCCGCGACGTCCATCTCCAAAAAGAACTCCATCTTCGTCGTGAAAAGGCTTGAAATACTCAATATTCAACCGAGATTCGCGGTCTCACCCTTTCTCAGATCGAATCATTTTTTGTTGTAGCAGTTGCAGGGCAGATCCCCGCCACTACTTCAACAGAAGATGACTCCAAAGCATGCCTGGAACAAGCCATATCGAGGTTGCAAGCCACCCCTCTCAGCACCTTTTTTGAAGAAATTCGAAATTTCAATGGTGGAAGATATACTATGAAGAGAATTTCAAAAAGTATGTTTCGCGGAGCGATCGCTCAACCTACGTCATTCAAACTTTGCAGGATGGTTCAGACGTACATACTAGGCATGGAACCACAGAAGATGATATCATAGCTGACACACAGAGTCACACACACAACAGATTCGTGTCCACAGATACTAAATTAGTGGACGTCGTCATCTTCTTCCCGCTGATCTCAAATGTACTATGACGTGCTATTTCGCCTGACGCTCTACATACACAATGTACAGTCACCCCATAAAAGTACGGTCGAACAGCTTGGGCGTCATCTAGAATACCGTAATAGCACGGGTTCAACAGTCCATGAGGTAAGCGAATAGTCCTGCCAAGATGTGTCTTCACCAGCCATGTACTCCATCAAAATGATAATGTCATCAAAACCATTGCATTGCACAGTTGATAAGTTTCCAAGAGTTGCAATGCCTTGATGATGATTTCCCTTCACATTTCTTAAGAAGGTTTGCTCCGGTTTGTCTCTACAGGCACCTGTACTGTAATCAACTGAGCCAATTGCCTGCAGGTCTTTTTGAAAACAACAGAAAGTTGAACAAATTGTAAGTGTATAATTATTGTGAGTAAATCGTGCGGAAAGGGAGTTCTGAGCGGCATCAGTGTGTGCAATTTCGTTGATAAGCTCAACCAAGAATGATTTGTGAAGACGTCGTTAAAGGCCACTAACAGATATACTGGGACAAAGGGGACTAGACCGATGGTCATTTGATGCCCATTGGTAGGGATCTCAGCGCCTGAACTGCGCAGCCAGTCTGCGCAGGTGAGATTTTCGATCCCAAACGCGTCCAGTGCAGAAATCGTGGAAAAGAACATTTTTTTTTCGAAATAAATCAAGTTGAAGAAGACAGAAGAAATGGCTGAATATTGCGTCCAGGAAAGCAGGTTCTACGGCCATCTCCAAGCTACCTATCTCCCAGACACTCTCATCGACCGGGGCAATATCGCCTTGGCCACGCTGTCCTTCGGCGGGAATTACAAAGTATGTTCGAACGACGATGAAGATGACGATTCCGCTGGTGTCCACCGCGTCCCCAAGTGTCGAAAATCGACCGTCGCCATTTTTCTGCTGTATCCGCGAGCTGCACTCAAAACTCGATGACGCAATGTATGCCCAAACACCCTGCGCACTGCACGAGCTGAGATCCCTACCATTGGTGCTCCGCGTGGCATGAAGAAACTGGGCAAGCCTCTAGAACTAACATTGTAGACAGCCGTACAGCTTGGAAGTGTCCATTTTTAGCCAAACAATGATAAAATGGCACTTAATCATAATAATTATTATGAATAATCGGCTGAGTAAAGTGAGCGTTAGCATGCTAACGCGAGTTAGCAGCCAGCCCAGCGAGCTGGCCCAACCTGCACGCATGCGCGAGTCACGTGGGCACGCGCCCTTCAAAATCCTGTACAATGTCTCTTTCATGTCATTGCTGTTTGGACTTTCGAGTGTGCAACTTGCGGAACAGGTGTTCCCAAAACAATTTTCTTTCGTTAGACTTTCAAGCTTGCATTTTCGTATCTCTACGTTTCAAATTCAGACTTCAATGACGCCTGTTGGTGCCTGAAACAATGTCGTCGTCTACAGTGGAACGACGACTGTGGACTTTTAGCTTGCGCCATCATCAGGTTTCCTGAAATGAAGTACCTCCACGCGATCTCAGCAACCCTTGTTCGTGCCTTGAAACAATGTCGTCGTCAGCAACCGACGTCCAGCCTCTCCGGATCGCCTCACTCTACCTGGCTCCGCCGCCCGCCTACTGCGAACGTAGCGACGGCCGCCACGCAGCACCACCACTGCAAGAGCAGCGCGAGCCTGACGATCGTAATTCGTATCCAGAGAGGCGAGTTCGTGGACTTTGATTTTCTGTTGGAAGTAACAAAGGTAGTTGTCCACTGCCGTCACCAACGCCACCCAGCTTCTTCTCGCTCTATTTGGATCCGTATCGCCGCTCGCCGCCAGCAGGCCGGACCCTACTGCGAGCCCGGTGCAGTGACGACCGCCATACGCGCATGCAGCACCAACAGCAGGTGAACCTGACTGTCCTATACGGGCCCTTCTCGATCGTGTCCAGAGAGGCGAGTTCGTGGACTTCGATTTCCTGCTGCCCGATACAGTTGCAGTCAGTCCAGCTCCGGCGACGTTCCAACTCCGTAGCCCCTCATATGTTGCTCTTCTGGCGCACTAGCATTTTATTTGAATCCGAACCCAGAACTGCGCTTCGTAGGCTGCATGACGGTAGCACTTGAGTTGAGACCTGGACAGTGTTCATGAATGGTCTGTGTTCCACTGTTCCTCACCGCGTTTCACGAGTGCCTGTGGCCGTATTTGGCCACGATCGTCGCGGCCAATCGCCAGTTCTTGCCACCTAGAAACTGGACGTTATCAATACTCAATCTGCGGACAACTGTTTCGTCCTTTGTGGACTCATCAGCGCAGCACAGAGGGAATTAAGCCGAACCTGATAGCAATGGAAAATAAAAATAAAAGAAATCTCCAAAGCCAGGTTATCAATATCAACTTGTGGCAACTGCGCCTCGCGGTGTACTGGAACAGCACGACCCGCCTGCCAGCAGTGCAGCTCAGTGCACTCGCCAGCATTTCTGTGCGCATTTCGTCCTACTCACCAGTACAGATCCGCATCACGTACCGCAACCGTATGCCGCTACTACGAGTACGGCGCTTGCACGTGTCAGCTCAGGCAGTGCTACCTCCAGTGCCGACAGGAGCACCCCAGGGCAAAGTGAAAGGCCTCATCAGTAACAGTGTAAGCACTCAGTTTCTCACTTCTCAAAATTACTGGACTCACATCCTGATCCTATGCTCCGGAGGTGTGTTGCACATGGTCGTAATTGTGGGGTTGTGGTAGGTTTCATCGGCAACCACTCAACTAACTGGGATCCATTGAATTTAACACGGTCACATGCTAACCCAGATTATATTTCTGCGCAATGATCCGTTTCTTGCAGCAGGCTTGAAACAGCTGGCCCGTGTTCTTCATCCTCTTTCTCGTCTCTGTGCTGTTCCGGCGTAGATGCATTTCCTAGACGAATGGGAAGTTACACACGACACACCCTTTGTAAAGCCTGGAGGGTCGAAGTGTCAACCATTACATTCCAGCAGACCGTATCTCTCCACAATGTCAAGATGACAATGCTGCAAACATGATCAGACAATTGCTCACCCCGCTGTATCTTGCTAAGCTCAATGTTAAAAGTGCATTCTGCCGAATTCCTGTCTGCCCGGAGGAGTGGCCCTTGTTGAACCGCTGGCAGGATCTATACTGTTATGAGAGCGTCCTGCCCTTCAGACTGTACTACGCTCCAGGCCAGCTATATGGAACTCTGTCGCATCCGCCAGTGAATGGATTGTGTGCGGGCCGTTCCCACTCCCACGCCTGCTGCATTACGGGGAATACCTCAATTAATGTTACTTCCTCAATGCATGCTCTGGACTTGTGTTACCTCGCTAGCAACTTGCTATACTGCTCCAAGCGTTTACATACCTCGGTGTTTCTCTGGCCCCAGCAAAAGTGGAGGGTCCAGCTCAAGTCCTGACGTTATTGGCATCTTCCCATTACGGGAAATACCTCGACTAACGTTTCTGTCTCCATGCATGCTCTGGACTTGTGTTAACTCGCCAGCAACTCGCTACTCGGCGCCGTGCGTTTACATACCTCGGTGTTTCTCTGGCATCAGCAAAAGTGCTTCCTCGATGTATGCTGTGGACCTGTGTTAGCTCGCCAGCAACTCGCTACTCGGCGCCGTGTGTTTACATACCTCGGTGTTTCTCTGGCGTCAGCAAAAGTGGGGGGTCCAGCCCACGTCCTGACGTTTATCGGCGTCATCCTGAACACCCACGCGCTAACATCAGTCTGCCGATGGACGAACTTGCCAAGCTTCACGGCCTCCTACGGGCCACTCTCAACACAGCTTCAGCTACCCAATGTCAACTCGAGTATCTTCTGGGAAAGCTCTCGTTTGCTACAAGAGTGATAGTCCCAGGACGCACATTGCAGATTGAGGTCACTTGCCAACTGGTACCGGCAGCCGTATTACCTGATCAAGCTCTCCGAAGAGTGCCTCAAATACCTTCGCTGATGGCCTGAGCTCCTGGAATAGTAGAACGGCCGGTCCTTCTTCCTACACCCTAAGTGGACGCCGTCCCCCAACTTGCTGCTATTCACTGATGCAAGTGGTGCACTTGGCTGGTGCGCAAACAATTGCAACCGGGGATAGGGCAATGGACACTCAATCAAGCAGACCAGCCAATCGCAAAGAGTGGTTTGCAATTGTGGCAGCACCTGGGAAAGCTAGCGGCACCAGCAGCAGATGCCAATCGATCGGCTTTACAGCAACTGGGAAAATCTTGCTCATCAGTTGTGGCTATGGCCTGGCGTTATACACCGGTCACTTGTTTCGAATCAGCTGCCGGACTCGATATTCAGAGAGGCGGGAAGGTGGAAAGCCATGTCTGCCCGAGTAACATTCAGAGGCCACCAGCAGCCAAAGCATAGGTGGATGTGGCAATGGCCTCAGCCCATGATATCGAGTTCCTGTTAGTCAATCGTTACCGAGCTTGCACTGCTTACAAATTTCACAGGTAGCTGCACTTTGTGATCCGCTCTGGGAGTGCCGATTTATGGAATATATGCTCTCAACTGGTTATGCATCTCTATATATCTAGCATTTGGCGGCTCTATTCAGAGTCATTGGCGGATCCATGCGGAGGCATTGGCGGCTCCATGCGGAGTCATTCGGCGGCTCCATGCGGAGTAATTGGCAGCTCCATGCGGAGTAATTCGGCGGCTCCATGCGGAGTCATTCGCTGGCTCCATGCGGAGTCAATTGCCGGCTCCATGCGGAGTCATTCGCCGGCTCCATGCGGAGTCATTCGCCGGCTCCATGCGGAGTCATGCGCCTGCTCCATGCGGAGTCATTTGCCGGCTCCATGCGGAGTCATTTGCCGGCTCCATGCGGAGTCATTTGCCGGCTCCATGCGGAGTCATTTGCCGGCTCCATGCGTAGTCATTTGCCGGCTCCATGCGGAGTCATTTGCTGGCTCAGCTGCGAGCCATTATACCAGTTGCTCGAATCGGCACTCCCAGCGTAATGCAAAACTCGGTTGCTCTACAGCAAGGAAGCTAAAGCATAGCAGTAGAGTTACACAGGTAGCACTTGGGACACCTGCAGTAGATTGGGCAGGGATTCCTGAATGTAAGCCATCATAGCATCACCTCTCCATCCTCCCTTTGGCTCAATGAGCTTATCTGGTACTCCTGCTGCAGCAGCCGTGGATCCACCTCTTGACCTCTAACTATGTAAACAGTACCCGTCCGGGTTTACGCCGGTACGCTTCAGAGCTTCACACACTAGATGTCTTGCCCTGCTGTAGGATGACGTGGGCTTGTTGTTGTTGTTGTATACTTTATTCATAGTGGAAATCAAAACAGGCATAATGCCTAATAACATTGGACCCACTCTCTTGCTCTGCTGTAGGATGACGAGTGCTTGATGATGGTCCTGCCCTTCACACGATTTATATAGTTATTAGTGCCCAACTCATAGTCATAATGGATGGCAGACATTATTTCCAGCGCCATCATGTCCGTTGAGAGGTTGCCCTTAGCAGGGCCTGAGAAGAGGATAGAATGGTATCTGTCAATGCTTCATTGCTGGCTATGTCGGCTCTGTTGACTCGTCAGCTTTTGTTGGTACACGGCGATCTTCCACTACTTCAGCAATTCACCCACACCCACAGCTTTCCACTGCTAGGCTTGGACCTCTCACGTAATCAGGCTAGGACTGATTACGCGCTCAGAGCACAAACGCCTCCCCACAGTGGGGACATCTTGCAGCAGGACCTCGCAGACACTGCATGCACACATTCTCGCTCAGCGCCATATGATCCAGAAACAGACATCCTTCCGTCAGAGAAAATTACAGGAACCAGAGAATTACATCTCTCTTCTAACAAACACAGTTTGTCAATGCACAATTTCGTAGTGCATACATGTCACAAGGACTCAAAATCTTGGTAAGTTTCCAATAGTTGCAATGTATTGATGATGATATCCCTACCCATTTCTCATGAGGTTTTTCTTCGCTTTGTCTTTACAGGTTTCTGCAATATAACCAACTGACCCAGTTGCCTGAAGGTCTTTTTGACAACACAAGTCTGACACATTTGTAAGTGAAATAACTTCCTTGTCAGCGTCAAAGTTCTTTTCTGGTGTCCAACTGTATCAACATTTTCCGGGAAGATGCAATGGAGACTGGCGAGAATTCCGAGAAGTGCACCGCAGGTGGAGGCCCAAGGGGTAGGGGCAGTTGTGCACGGCGAACTGGATCTTCCACAACTTCCGAAAAAGCGTTTCGAATCGCATCAACCATGCACCATGGATCCCTGTACGTAGACGGTTTGACTGTCAATGCCTTGATTATTTTCCAAGTCTCTCTGCCATTTCCTGTGCAGTGCTAACTTTGGAGTTGTAGAATTCCTGTTTCCGGGTCCTGTTGTAGCCAGTTGCCGCACGTCTGGCTTTCCTTTTTTTTACGAGAAACCACGAACCTCGAGAACAGAATAGTTATAGTGTCCAGGGAGGGTTCAGAGGGTATCTGTGGCTGAGTGCCAATCTCGACTGTGGAAAGACTTGTAGGCGCCTTCCTTGAATGCCTGCATTCCCTTCTGCGTGGGGAGGTTGCATAGCAGGGCAGATGGGAGACGAGTCCAGTCTTGGATGCCACTTAGATCTTAGAACCTTCCAAGTTGGAAAGCTGTTGGAGTGCGCATCCAAGTTGTGCTAGAGCTGTTAGCCTGTTAGTAGTGTAACATGAGTAACGTCGGTCAGACTCGTGCAACGTTATTGCATGAGCTGATTGTCAAGTAACTGGTGGTGTTAGTGGACATTATAGCATAGCTTGTAGTTCCTGGGTCCTTTTTCTTTCCTATATATTATCATTGGCTCTCCATGCGAGTCGATTAAGCAAGTAGGCTCAGACTTTTGGGGCAGGCTCCTTTAGTTCCAAAACTTGTCTCCAGCGTCGCGCTCCCAAAACGTAGAGCAGACCCTCCCTATAATATACTACTATCATGTAGGACTAAAGTGCCTAGCGCCTAGCTACATCTACCGCTTGATCGTAGATCTACCGTGCACGTGAATTTATGTTGTATCGAGAGTGCGCACGTCGGGGACCGCGCCGTAGCGTGTGTTATGTCGAGGTTTATGTTATGTAGGATTATGTTGTGTAGAACAAAATTTGTATGGGAGTGATGCTGTTTCGGTGCGGGATTTGATTTTTTACTTACAAGTGAGAGTTGTTATATCGAGAGCAGACCTGTAACTCAAATCAAAAGTCCTTGTGACATTTTTTGTAGACAGGCTTGCACTGCATGTCGATTTCGCGTCCTCTGAACTTCGCATGCGGGAAGTCACGCACAGCTGAGGTGATTTAGGTTGGGTGTGTGAAGTAGGATCCCACGCAACTGCGGAGTTGCCTCTGTTACTGAATCGTAACCAGCTCAAACTCTAGCATCCACAAAGCACTCACACATCTACAACAAGACACTCTTTCTTGATGTTATATGTAGGTTTGCCGCGTACGGCAAACTGTAGTTATCGCGGACAACCGAGAAGCAGGCAAAAGCCACGCGCGTGGCTAGGCGTGCAACAATGGGGGTATCTGGCATGCAATGGCTGGCAACCGTACTAGGGAAAGCCCAGGTTGCACCATGAGCACTAGTACGCCCACAGACGAGACTACCCCATATTTGCATGAAGGTTGTAGTGCTACGAGTCGTAGTATTAATGCAAGGAGTACGGCAGACAGGGCTCATGCATGGCGCCCAGTCTCTTTACAGGTCGTCCCTCGTTAATACATAATCTCTGGGACTTGACAAATGTTTTGTATTAACGGGGTTTATGTACTAAACGAAAGTGTACATAACTTGCTTGTATACCAGAATTTTTCACTTTTTTCAACTTTTCTGAGTGTTTCTTGCTGCCATGACTAGGTAGCGAGATATTCTTGATTCCCTCGATATAACATAAAAACTATGTTATAACGGTCACAGTTAGCGAAGATTCTACAGTTTACATGATACATGCCCAGCCACGCCTGTACAGTCACTCGAAAAAACATCAGAGCTTTGTCAGTTTGTGATGTGCGCTCTGATTTCTGAGCTAATTGCGTCCACAAGTAGAAACTAGAACACGATGTGCCTCCACTGGAAGGCCAAAAGACCAACAAATTATGTACTATTGAGGTAGGTGGCATGCGGGTACGGAGAAATGTTATGTACTAACGGTGTTTATGTACTAACGAATTATGTACTAACCGACAAAATTTGTATGGAAGTGACCACGTTTCGTCCGGGACTTGAGATTTCTTATGTACTAACGGGGTTTATGTACTAACCGGACTCGTATTAACGGGGGACGACCTGTATTCGGAAGCAGGTCCTTTCGTGGCACGAAAGGACTCCAGCTGCAGCACGCATGCTTAGTGTCAGCCAAGCGGCAATGCATAGTACTAACTGAGCATGCATGCAAGATAAAACGGCAACAAGGCGGTACGGGGAAAAGACTAGTACAGTGCGAGGCAGAGACAGGCGGTATGGCGGAGAAACGCAGATCACGTATGGAAAAGGTGAAGTCCCCGACCCGGTGGATATCGGACCCACGATAACATACACCACCATGCTCATATGGAAAATAAGGCGCGAGAGCTTACCAGGTAAGGTGGGCCGCGGGCAGGAAGACAATAAATAGTGGACGCAGCATGGGCCGCATAAGCGCGTGGCAAGCGCACATGGTGTAAGACGTACTCACGAAGGCCACCACGCGAGAGTGCGGCAGCATGGGCTGTGTACGAGAGTACGATGCCGGGCGGACCAAGCTGTGGTGGTGCTACACAGCCTACAGGCACGAAGCACCTCAGCAGTTGGAGGTGGCGATCGCAGTGTCAGCATCAGTTCTGGCAGCTAGCAGTAGCAGATGGGCTTTTTTTCTTTTCTTTTTAATACTCTCAACGAGGAGCAGCAGGCAACCCTCGTTTCACAATCGTGATTACATAATCACATGGCAAAACAACAAAAATGCAACCCCATTCTACAGTGGTATGATGTGTGTGTCTCGGGGGGAGGGGCGATAAACATACTTCCTCCGCGTCATCGAAATTGTCGCAGTTTGACTTTTGATGTAAAATACGGTATTTACTCACCAGCACTCGTACCAGAGGCAAGGGATCGGACATAGGCGATAGTCATCAGTATAGGGTGACGGCAAAGTTCTATTTTCTGTTATTGGAAGCTGGAATTTTTGAACTAGACGCAATTTCTTCGCTGATGTCGCTGCGCTGGTAATTTCGACTCGCTGAGATCAGTCAGGTGTTGCAGCCTGCACATTTCTCGTGCTTATGGCCATTCACTCAAGCCCCATCACTGCTTTACCTTAGCTGGGGTGAGAATGACTTCGTGGAACAAGTGGCAGCGCTTGGAGAAACATCGAGGGGTCGGCAAACTAAATGCCTGCAACAGCGATAAAATTTGTCGCTCTGGCTGAGACACTCAGTACTACTACTAGTACATGATTGTACCTGCAAGAGCCGTGTAGACTCTACACGTAGTGCTAGTGATGCACGCGGATGTGCCGTACCATGGTATACCATGGTATACCAGTGCTGAAAAAGAGGGCGCGCTGGACGTGATACTACACTTACCTGCATGAGCTGTGGGCATGCCACGGCTAAAAAAAAGTTCATTATTTTCAAGATCGAGGTGATTCCGAGGTGATTCCGCCGACGGTAATCAACCGACCTCGCAACGATCGTGTATTCTTACTAGGCTTCGTTGGTGGTGAAGTAGAAATCATCCAGAGCTAGCAGACGACAAGCATAGCAGCTCTTGTCCTGTGGAGAAAGTCAAAGCGTTTGAGATGAGGCGCGACCAACTTTCAACCTTCCTTGAAATATTTGGGAACGATATTTTTGCGTCCATTGACATCAGCGACGACGAGGACTTCATCTCTGCATGAAAACTCTCAGTCCAATTGTCCTAGAACGTTACTCTAGTCTTCAGACTATCATACTGTGTAATAAGTTTCGAATGGCTTAGTTTATGGAGTTGTCAGTAACAAGTGACAAGTCACTAGTCAAACTGCGACAATTTCGATGACGCGGAGGAAGTAACTGTTAGTTTCATACAACAATGGAGGAATAGAAGAAGAGGGAAGAGAAGGTCATAGTTACAGTACTTGAACAGTAGCCAGCAGCAGCTCACAACGCCATCAGGACCGAAGAGAAAGAAGATGAAATGAGGAGAAACCACTGCCTTTATACCAGGGCCAGGCACTGGCGCCTAGCAACAGCCAATCAGAGAAGCTCATGTGACTACTCTATCTACTACAAAGAGTAATGAGTAATGATTACATCACTAGCATAAATGGGAAAAGACACAAAAAGGTAACACATGCAATTGTGGGATTCGAACCGGCAACAGTCATTCCAAAGGTCAAGAAATTAGCAGTAACGTATCTCAAGGCCTCACTGAGTGTCACCATGCATTGTCGCTACTACTACACCCCTTGCTCGATCCCGGACAATAATAAGCAGATCGGTCTATTCACTCCCTTTTTCACCCTATATACAAATGTACTCACCCTCCCCCCCCCCCATTGTGCCTATTCCTCCCAACTTTTGGGTGCACTGAAGTGTCGTTGAAGCCGAGACCTCAGGTCGGAGGAGATGCTCCAGTTTCACCACCACAGTTCCGTCTGCAGCCACTTCAGTATTCTGTTCTCGAGGTTTGTGGTTTCTCGTAAAAGAAAAAAAATGTCGTCTTTACCCCTACCTGTTCCCTGTGTCCATAGTGTCTGGGACGATGGCATCTAGAGCACACAAGAAGTTCATCGAACCTTCGACCCCGCAAACCTGCAAGAAAGCACCACTTGCAGGTTGAAGGTTGAAGGACTTCTCGTGTGCTCTGGATTTTTTTTTATTTTTTTACTAGAGCCACGTTAACCCGTCATGTGTGAACCATGAATAAGGGGAGTGGTGGAGTGGTCTGGGATGCTCTGCCGACCTTGGGTCTCGGCTTCATCACAACCAGGCGCGCTAATAGCAGAGAAAGAAAGACAGAGAGAGAGAGTGAGAGAGAGATAGATAGATAGAAAGAGAGAGAGAGAGAGAGA